CGCGTGCGCGGGGGGAGCCAACGCAGGGCCCCGTTCCGCGATCGAAACGACGACGTCGAGAGACTCGGCGGCGAGTCGGGTCGACGCGGCAGAGTGCAGCGCGTGATGATGCAACGAGTCGAGTACGAGGCCGGAGAGGGCGTTACGGTGGGAGGAGAGGTCGGAGAGGAGTTTGAGCGTGTGGTGAAGAAAGTTTGGGTCACGATTGAGTTCGAGAGAGCGAGTTAGGGTTTCGAAGAGGGAAGAGATTATGGAGTCGGGGGTTGAGGGGTTGATGATCAAGGCTCTAATTCGAGTTAGGGATTGGGCAGAGAGAGGTTCTTCGCTGAAATTATTTGGGAGCTCTGCTCTTCCTCCATTGGGCAGAGGGAAGAGATTGTGGAGTCGGGGGTCGCTTTTGTCGTACGCGTTAAGAGCTCCGGAGGTCAGATAAGTTCCTGACGTCGAGAATGAAAGAGTTGTTTGGTTGGGGGATTCGTACCACGATTCGAATCATAGTTCGTGATTTGTTACAGTATTTTTCTCATAAAAAATACACATAAATTAAAAATAGTTTTAATCTCATGATTCTAATTCATAAACCAAACGTCTCCTAACAGTTTGGGAGATATATCGGAGCGCTCGCTGAGCTAAGGTGTTAAAGTCGATAAGTCCACAAAACTTTTGAAGCCTCTGTGTCGAGGAATTAAGGGTCTGTTCTTTTAGAGTGTGATTTGAGTGTAATTTTTGAGTTAAATTTGAGTTATAACTTGAGTTGAAGTTGTAACTTGAGTTTGTATTTAGTTGTATACATTTGAGTTATGGTTTGAGATAAGAATCTTTTTTTGAGTTTGTGTTTGAGTGAGTTAAAACTTAAATTTGTATTTAGATAGTATTTTAATAAAAACTCAATGGTGATGAAAAATTTTAATAAGGTATATAGGTGTGGTTTTATTCGTCTTTTCATTGTTAACACATAGAAGAAAATCATCTCAATCAGGATTAAAACGAAAAGTTATAGCATTTTTAAGAATAAAAAAAATAATGTTCATTAATTTGAGTTTGAGTTTCTGAACTCGAGTTGAATGGGACACTTGAACTCGAGTTTTAATCCCAAACTCGAGTTTAAACTTAAAAGAACATGAACTTTAATAAAGTTGGAACTCGAGTTGCATTTTTTGAGTTTTTTTGGCAGCTGAACACACCCTAAAAATTAGATCAAACTGCGAGATTAAATTAAGATCACATTGCGCCAAATTAAGACCAAATAAGTCTGATCAAATATTTAAATTCAAATAAAAGATTAGTTATTGACCTCTAGAGATAATTTCTCTGATTTGAATATTTAGATATAGAAATATGGTTGTAAAATCTCAAAAAAAAGGGATAAATGGATTATCATCGGGAAATTAGAGATAACAATCTCTAGATTGAGAAGAACCTATAAATAAAGGTTGAATTCCTCATTTAAGGAGACGCACTATTTTACTACTCAAAGAGATATTGTAATTCTTAGAGATAGTGCATCCACAAGTGGACATAGGCAAAGAGTTTATGTCAAACTACTATAAACTTCTGTGTTTTTTTTTTACTTTTTTGTGATTATTTTCTTGATCAATTCGTGAGTTGTTCGCGAGTGTTCCCGAAGAGGTTTAATCTTGAGTTGACTAATTTTCACCATCGACAATAAACTTGGAAAACTTGCTTGAATTTGCAGAGTCACCTAGAGCAGGGAATTGAGAAGAAAGTAACGGTCGACCGACGGTCATTTTTTTATATTATGAGAAAGGGATTAATTTTGAATTTAATCCCCGAAAAATAGGGGTTGTTTCACTTTAGCC